TGCATAGAGCCATAGTCGAAAACGCCAAAATGAAGCTCCCGTGAAGCTGATTTACGGCACGCGAGCTTACATTTATCGTTGAGAGAATGGTGCAAATGGAGTGGGGATGGGTGGGGAACTCCACGGGGGTCAATCTTTAACGCGAAGTACAAGGAAAATTGCATGACAATAATAAGAATATGATAACAAGCAGTTTATTCATGCAAAGCACACACTTCACGAGGATCGGCTTAACTAAGACTGAATGATACTAGGAAACGATTCTAATTCAGATATAAACATTCGCGCCCGAGCCCAAGGGTCGGGTTTCACAGGGGAGGGTTTCCAAGGTGGACGAGCCAGAAAGGACCTGTACAGGGATATGTAGGATGTGGGACACTACACCGGCTATTATCGGAGAGTATGCGTCAAATGAGTCGACAAAGCATGATTAGCGCTCTTATTTCTAGCGTTAGAGATGTCTTTAGCGGCAACGCAGAGCACAATGCCCCCTTTTCAACTCCATTTTCACCATGGGCGTGTCCTAATGACTCTAACAACGAGATCTGAGATGGGAGACGATGGAGAAAAGTGTGGCGCGGACAAATGCTCAAATGAAGGCGGAGTTGACGGCGTTGAGGCATACCTCCGTCATCCCCTTCAGTTCATCACTGCTTCAGGAAGAGCCGCCTCTTGAAACAGTGATGAAAAACCTCCAAACAAGCACCTAACTGGGCCTCTTTCCGCTAGCTTGTCATATCCCACAAGATCGCGGAATGTGCTTTGAACCAAATGGTAATTGATGCTAACATCGGGGCTCTATTTTACACTGCATGCACTTATAGTGTCAGGAAAGCAAGGTCGCAGTGACAAAAGTTGACTCAATGGAGGTTTGACCATTATGGAAATATTGATGCACGCCTCTTTGTCGCTGTCAATTTAAGGGGCCGCTATTAAGATGTTTAGGATGAATCTCGGCCAGAACATTCCTTCTGCGCCGGGGAGTGGGAGTGTACCACATCCCATTTCAATGCAGAATTCCACAGACATTTGAATGCGAAATGGACTATACAGGGGTGGCCATGAAAAAGAGACACTTCATCCCTTACTCGGAACGGCATAACAACACTTTGCTAAATTCAAGGCGAATGCTCTCAATTGAAGATTGAAGAGCATATCCCGTACTATCAGCAAACGTCATGAAAGCCTTCTGAACCGACGACATCAAAAGAATTTACCACGAAGACGTTGTACATAGTTCGAGCTCAACGTGGTACTCTTCGGATGATGGACCACTGTGAGTCTATTGGAAGCGCTGGCCGGAAGGGGTCTTGCATAGTTAGAGGTATAGTTTCTAGGAAGATATCCATCAACTAATCGATTTAAAGAATTTCGTCGCTGCTTCGGGGTGGAGTGATTACTGATGACCTCCTTGAGCTCGACGGTGACGGCAGATGACTTCATATATCGAAGACGGTGAGGGTAGTGAAAGAGGAACTCTTTCTGCTTATGGAGAGACATCTAAGGGATGTTATGCCATAAAACTCCCGTCAGCAGCGGCACTCTGGGGTACGAGAACTTTGGTGATTTGTGCCATGGGCAGAGTGTCTTTTTTTTGGCCACCCCTGTATAGTGATTTATGGAGGCCAGCAACAAATCATGGTTTTTATCAACCCAGATAAGTCTGGTGCCACTTATTGAGCTTCGGTGGATGAAAGATGTAACTGGCTGGGTGGGATACATGAACTCAGTATTGAAACCCAGACCACCTCCTGCACCTCTCTATCATTGCCCTTCTCATCTTTCCTGAATTTCTTGGAGAAAAACATAGGTCCGCTTTCCGTCATTCATTAAATGGTATATTGCTTATGACTCTGTAGCTGCACTTGCTCTTGAAGCTATGCACTTCTGACAACATTTCACCTAGCCTTGACAGGTTCTTCATGCATGACTGAATCGCAACGGCATTTCGAGCCACGAAATTGTCCGATCTACATACTTCGCCAAAATTACTCGCACAACAGCATTGACATGCAGCAGTAGCCCAAGCGTAGCCGCATGGCATCCGTTCTGCAGAATGCGATTTAATTAAACGATAGATAGAAGACGTAACAACGCTGGCCGAATAGAGAACCAATATGCGGCTATGACATTCTTCAGAAGAGCGCTTAATCAACGATATAAAGGGCGCTGGAAAATGGGACATCCTGCAGAAATATATTAGATTCGCTCGCTCTTAGTTCGCCGTTCAGTCGCAAGTGGTCACGAATGTTGATGAGGAACATCAACAATGCTTTAGACAAATCGATGATCGGGTCTGTTTCGGCATAGCAGCCAGCACTTGTTAAGTTCCTACAAACATCATTGTTCACTGAAAATGCTCAAAAACGAATTGCTCCACTCACACAGAGCTTCCTTACAAGGCGAAAATTGGGATTACTGTAGCCGGCACGAGCAAATGCATTTAAACTCCCTTTTATTGGAATATGTAGACACCACCACAGTATAAGCCGCCACAGACGAAGCGATAGTGAAGCGGTGAAGAAAAATATTTGTTGAACAGCCGCACCCGACAGGCCCACACGGTCCAGCTCATACAATATACACTGGGGGGAGGGGGGCAAAAACAGAGTCACTCCAGCTCACATCTAAAACAGAACTAATGACACTTTTCCGATTTCAAACCGAATGATTCCAACAGAAAACTAAACGGCACATTCCATTCAATCAAAAACCTTCCTTAAAGCAACACTCTCAGCAGGGTCGAAGTAGGCGTGGGGTACGGAAGTCGCACCCCCCCCCCCTGCCAGCAGTGAAGATCCGTTCAGGATCATGATTTGCACTGTGAATCGACTTTTACGCTCGTTTTGAGACCACAGAGACTATTTGAAATCGGTTCACGATGCAAATCGTGATCGTCCAAGGCTGGCAAGAGGAGCAGCGGCTTCTGTACGCCACGCCCACTTCGACCCTGCTAGGTTGCTTTAGCCTTTTGCCTCGACGACATTACACGATTTTGTCACGGGAACATGCTGCACGGTTCAAGCTCAACCAGGTCCTCGGCGGATGAGCCATTACGCCCTTATCTAGAACGCAGCTGGGAAAAAGGTTTGTGTTCTCCTAGCTGCTGTCTATGGGAAGCTGTCCACCACTTAATCGATCGAAGAAGTAAGGTAACTGCATGAGGCCGGAGCAATTAAGGTAGGGCTGCTTGAGCTCCAGGCGATGGCAAATAACGTCATATCCTGAAGACGGTGTGAGCAGTGAAAGAAGGCCTGATGCTGCTTATGAGAAGACGTGTAAGAATATTGTGTCGTCGAGGTACTTCAACGGCGGACCGTGTACGCCGAAAAGTTTGGTGACGTATGATGAGATATAGCTGTCGAAGTCTGAAGCAACATTTGCCCTTCGATACATCTTCTTGTGCCTATCGAGCGGAGCCAGAAGTGAGAAGGGTGCTTTGGGAACTAAAGCCTGGAGAAAATCTTGGTCCAGGAAGACCATTGGTGTCCTATTTGGACTAGCTGTGATGTCCCTTACACACAACTCGCACGAGATAACTAACGACTGACCATCACACTCTATACCTTAGATGGGAGGCATAGACGATAGAGGTCTCACATCCCCTACTAAATTGTTGAAACTCATATGAGTTGACCGACACAAAGAAATTGCACGAGTGAAATTGCTTTCTATTTAACCTAGCACTGATTGAACAAAGCCGATTTTTATATGGGAAGTAAAGGTTTCATGATAAGCGCATGCAGAGACACCAGTAATTGGATCGACCCGACAGGCTAAAAAATTGACAAATTCATCACGAGGTCATGCTTGGCCTGTGCTGAATGTTCTCCACTAGAGAGCTCTCCCTCGCCAAGGCAGTGAAGCCGGTCAGGTCTACTGTGATGTGAACCTCCAGCAACTATCGCTATTTTGGAGCTTACTTCAAAAATCCTACTACAGGAGGGAGGGGCAAAAAAAAGAGTCACTTCCACACATGTTCGAAGCAAAACAAATTGCCCCTTTCCGGAATCAAACCAAATGAGCCCAACTGCATACTGAAGAGCACTTTCTATTCCATCAGTAAAATGACATAGGGTTCCTCTACACCGACGACATCACAAGATTTTCCCAAGGAAACATGATGCACGGTACGATCTCAACGAGGTCGTCGAGGAACCATGGACCATTACGACGACTCCGAGACGCTAGTCAAAAGCTATCTTGTATAGTCACAGCTAGTGTCTCTGATAAACTATTCATCACTAATCCGATTGAAGAAAATACTTAGCAGCTTCAGAATCGAGCGATTACTGTAGGGCTCCTTGAGCGGTAATGACTGACGGATGACGTCATATTCTGGAGACTGTGAAGGCGGTGAAGGTGGATCTGCTTCTGCTTATGGGGGGGACATCTAAGGAATATATCGACGCAAAACTCCGAATTATGGCGGCAGTCTTTGCAACAAAAAGTTGGTGATGTGCGTCATGGGCAAAGTGACTCTTTTTTGCCCGCCTTCCCCCTCCCTGTATATCCAGTGTGCTGACACTAGCCTCCTCTGGTCTGCCATCGGTTCGTCTTGATCAGTAGAATCTTGTGGACGAACTTGTGATTCAAAGATGAACCTCGGAATCGAACTCACTGCCTTTTTCATTTCGAAACCGTCGACCTTCTTGGAGCTAGACATTGACCGATCGGTCAATAGTTGGCAACAAATCACGAATAGTGATGGTGAATATTTTGATGACAGGAAGTGCTTGTTGTTGTAATGAAGCAGACCCAAATAAGAAGTTCAATTGACACAAACTCTATAAACATCCCAATATGTATTCGAATAGAACAAGTGCTTTTCCGACCCGCATGCGTTGCTCCTTGCGCAGTATTAGTATTATTTGGAGGGTAATTCAAAATAACTAACCCATCTTTTTGCCCCTTAAAACAAATAAAATTCAGAAAAGGTATATAACAACTGAATAAATGAACAGTCATCACAAGGATCCTGGATTATGCACAAAATTCCCCGCTGCAGGCGGGGATCGAGCCCGCATCTCTCACTCTGGGCATTCGTGCAACCAACTGCACCACTGGGGCACAGCTTCACCTTACCCCAGCTTTCGTAGTATCTTAGCTTACAGCATTCAGAAGCGTGAAGCAACAACGAATTCGCGGGGTAAACGCGGTCGATAATGAAATTGTGGAGCATATTAAAAAAAAGAACCAAAAAAAGCGCCAATGAAGCCTTCGAATAGGGTCCTCCCTCCTCCTCTCCAAAATGAAGGAAAGGGCGTGTCGGGACGAGCTGTCCGAACTAGCTTGCATCACCGCCATTTCTTGCTGGCTCGTGCCAGCGAAAATTGCGGCTGCAATCGCATTTGCACTAATACAAACAGAGTCATGTGCATCAGTACTAACAAAGAAACACAACAATTAAATAAGTTAAGCAAGTAAAATCAATCAAAAAGAGGCGGCATCAATCTCGAAACGCGGGATAGTTCACAAGTAATCACGTAAGGCCCGCATCCAATCACGCGACCCCTACGGCTAACAAGAGGGCGTTGCGGCCGATTGGGCGCCACGCCCACTTCGAAAGCGTTCAAATCGCCTTCTAGCGGCTTGCCGAAGGAGTTTCTGGTTCAGTGACACTTCATATGTTCTTGACTAGAGCTGGGTATATATTTCTACCCCATTAGAATCGAAGATAAGAACCCTGCTGGGTATGTTGCTCAGACATAATGAGCCGGTTACAATCAGAAACACATACCAAACAGTTTTTAGAAACCTCAATATAATATTATGAAAACGGTGGAAAAAAATAAAAACATAACCAATGAGCTTTTTCTCAAGTGACATCAGTTTTTAAAAATGCTGACGAGAAATCTTATAGATGATAATCATGAGGAGGGGAATAAAGAGATTCACTTGAATGCAGCCTCAATTCGAACGAGAAAAAAAACTCTCCGAACACAATCGATCACGAACGGAGGGTTGGGTTTCAATGGACAAACATCGCCTGCCGCGCAACCATTTGTCAGCTGATCGAAAAAAAACACATCGATCTTCTCAGTAAGTCGAAAGATGCGGTGCTGTTAACGGTTTCATCGCAGTGATTCATCGCTCCTCAAATCGAGAGCAAAAGTGTTGCTTTTTGGAAGTGTAGTCAAACTTGGAGGAGATAGTAGTGCAATGGTAAGGGCGACTCTGACACTCATGTGTACCAATGCCAAGTCCCGGATGAAATCGCGCCAGTCGAACTTTCCTTCCCTTCGAGCTCGGACATAGCCACATTCGTCTGCACTGCACGTCCATTCGTCAGTGACTTGATCATCGGCTTGTCCCCCCTCTAAGATAGGCGCAATACAGTGCCAGATGGCATTCAAGGGCCACAACTTCTCTGTGGTAGAATACGTAGCGCATCTCAAAAAGGTATTGATCGGAGCCAAACGATTCACGCTGTGGCAGTATAGTTCTTGAATGAGAAATGCTTCAGAAAGAAGGGGAACAATGGCTTTCAGCTAACCGTAAATGGTCGAAACCCAAAAAAAGCTCATCGGAAGGTGAGACAACACAGGAAGTATAATACTTAAAATGCTGTTCCGCAACCGCCCAAAAGCCGAAAATGGGCATGAGATCTCACCATAAACTTCACCAGCATGGCATTGATGGGAAGACAAAGGTTTACGATTCATTTAATGCAGTATTTCGCATAAATCAGCTCAGTAAAGCTGTTCAAACACAAATTTTTTGAGCTTGTGATTTTCGTCACAATTTCACTACCCATTGTCCATTAAATTCACTTTAACTCGATGATGGGATTAAGGATCAACAAAACACTATTGCAGTGATTTGTCTGATTGAAAGGTGTAGCGGACCATTCTTCCTTATTATTTCCCAAACGGTTTTTTTGAACTGATTAACTGTTTCTCAGTGACAATGTTCAACAAAGAGAAAGGACATTATCGATTCTTGCTCGAGTGACAGTCACCGTCAGCTACTAAAACAGCTACCAACAAAAATTGATGGACTTCTTCCAAGTGCTGCTCTCAGCAGTACACCAGCTGGCTAGCTGAGAAGACTGAATGGCAGTCAAAATATCTTCATTTTTCGGCCGCACGAACATGTCGTATGCTAAGATGAGCCGGTGGTGATACACTTTTACTATGACACCGTGTTCGAAGATTCTGCCATCACAGCTCTGTTCCCTTCAGATGGAACAACTCTTCTTGAAGGAAGTGATCAGGAAATTCTCTATGGAAACTATGAAGAAAGATACGTACTGCGTTGGGTAGGGTCTCGCCCAATAAGACAACAGGTAGTGTTTTAGAGGCAG